GAAGGCGAAACATCAGACAATCCGGAGTACCTCAAGGATCAGTTCTAGGACCCAGTCTCTTTCTTTTTTACATAAACGACCTACCAGAAGGCCTACACTCAACAGTGAGACTATTTGCGGATGATACTGTTGTCTATCTGACCATTTCCTCCGACAACGACTGCCACAAACTCCAAAAAGACCTGAACAAACTGGCAAAATGGGGAAAAACTTTGGAAAATGGAGTTCCACCCTGAACAATGCAGCGTCCTAACAGTAACAAAAAAGAAAAATCCAATCAGGTGGGACTACAAACTCCACAGCCATACTCTGGAGCATGAAACATCAACAAAATACCTAGGCTGCACCATTGCAAATGATCTAGATTGGGGAGAACACATAAACAACATCACAGGAAAAGCCAGCCGAAGCCTTGGTTTCTTACATCGAGACCGCCACATCAGCTCAAAATCCACCAAAGAGCATGCCTATAAAATAGTAAGACCGCAAATGGAATACGCCACGACAGTATGGGACCCGTACCAGCAAAACCCCATAGAAAAAATCGAAAAAGTACAAAGACGAGCTGCACGATATGTAAACATCAGACATATCAATAGATCAAGTGTCAGCAATATGATTACTGAATTAGGATGGAAAATCCTACAAACAAGAAGAAAAGAAGCTCGACTCATCATGTGCTACAAAGTTACAAGCGATCTTGTAGCCATAGACAAGAGTAAATACCTACAAAATCTAACAAGATGCTCTAGCCGGACAGGGCATCATACTTACCTTTTACAGCCAGCCACCGAAGATTGTAGGAAATGGTCCTGCTTCGTAAACACCGCCAAGGATTGGAACAAACTGCCTCCAGATATTGCTACATCAAAGTCTCTTGAGATATTCAAGTCTCAAGTTACCAAATCTTCTAGATCACCATTTTGTTTTTAACCGTTTTTAATCATGCGCAACATGCCAGAATATTCATCATGTTGAATGTGGGCAGTGTTTGGAAGAAGAAGAGAACAACTCTCGCATTTTAACAATGAACACAGCGGAATTCCCATATTGACGTGATGCTAAATATACATATTGCTTAATAGTAATACTGATTTTGTAAATTAAACGACTATAAAAAAAGAAATATCAAAACATGAGGATTTTGAGAAGAAAATTAAAGGATAGTTATTTTAGTTTAACCTGTTTGTTTGTTTGACTCTTTTAATCAAAACAATCTTAAGAATCTGAGTAGTTCCTGTTTACAAAGAACAAAACGGTTGACGTGAGAGTCTTGGAAAGTAGTCAAAAGTAAAAGAAAACAGATTGCTTGACAGCAATCTTATTCCACAAACAGCGGTAGACCAACTCGCTCCTTTTCCAACAGAACTGTACCAAACATCACTCAACACCGGTGATGTTCCACAAGATTGGAGAGATGCTAACGTGGTACCCCTATTCAAGAAAGATAGAAAGCAGTTATCTTCTAACTACAGTCCTGTGTCATTTACCTCAATTACATGCAAGCTCTTAGAACACATAGTCAGCAGCTTAATGGACCATTTTGAAAAAACATAAAATCCTAACTAATGCACATGGATTCCGCAAAAACGATCATGCGAATCACAATTAATCATTACCATCAACGACATAGCAAACAAAAAACTGGATAAAAGATCCCAAGTCGACATCATCCTTCTTGACTTTGCAAAGGCATTCGACAAAGTACCACACAATCGCCTATTACACAAACTAGAATACTATTGAGTTAACCCTAAAACTAACAAATTCGTTTTTTCCTCGAAAAATCGTAATATTAGAAGGAGCTGTCTCCTCTCAAGTCCCTGTACTATCTGACGTACCCAAGACACAGTTCTTAGACCATCTTTTGTTTCTGACCTGAAGTAGTATCTCATGGTGACCTTTCACTTATATTAACTAGGATATTAGCCTGGACATATCATGATAATAGTATAAGGATAAAGAAACCTTAATAAAAATCAGGTCAAGGATGGAAAGTCTTGTCAGGCAGACATGTCAACCTTGCATGCATTGATTCTGTCTACCAAATAATGTTCATGAAACTTAGTTTTGTTCAAGCGGTCATAGATAGAATAAAATGCTCCGCAGGGCGCAGCTTGATACGACCGCAGAGGTCGAACCCTGAACAGTTGGGGCAAGTATGGACACAACATTCAAGCTTGATACAGCTTTGCATTTGGATTGTGATTAAATATTTGACACAGCATAGGTTTCTGACACAGAATGAATGTGGTCTAAGAACTTAAACATTTTAAATTGGACATTCACCTATTATGGTCCAATATCCAAAATCTAAATACATGGTTAGATTCAGCATATCAAAGAACCCAAGAATTCAATTTTTGATGAAATCAAACAAAGTTTAATTTTGGACCCTTTTGACCTCAATGTGGACAAAGTTGATAACGCGGCCCAAAAATAAAAAATCTAAATACATGGTTAGATTCAGCATATTAAAGAAACCCAAGAATTCAAGAATAAAACCCCATTGAAATTGGTCAAGAAATAAGCAATTTATACGAAGTATCTTCTTTTGCACAATACTGTGCAATTAAATATTTCTTGCTATTGCGCAATACTGTACAATTCACAATTTCTTGCTATTGCGCAATATTGTGCTATTGGATATTTCTTGCTATTGCGCAATACTGTGCAATTGAAGATTTCTTGCTATTGCGCAATACTGTGCAATTGAAGATTTCTTGCTATTGTGCAATACTGCGCAATTGAAAATTTCTTGCTATTGCACAATACTTATTATATAATATTTTGGTGTGTATCTCCTACCATATCATTATTATTTGCTTTTAAATATAAATCAGAAATAACCAACTTAAAATGGAAAATTTTAAAAGAAAAAAAAAGGAAAAAAAAAAAATCCCCCCCCCCCAAATTTTTTGAACCCCCTTATGATTCATCACCCCCAAACTCAATCCCAGCCTTCCCTTTGTGGAATGGTACCTTGCAGTACAATTTCAGAGAGATTCATACACTTGAACACAAGTTATTGTCTGGAAACTAGAAAAATGTGTTTTTTGGCCCCTTTTTCACCCCAAATTCCTAAACGTTTAGGGCAATTACCCCCAAACCCAAACCCAGCTTTCCCTTTGTGATATGGAACCTTGTAGTACAATTTCAGAAAGATCCATACACTTACACACAAGTTATTGTCCTGAAACTAGAAAAATGCTTGTTTTTTGCCCCTTTTTGGCCCCTAATTCCTAAAATATTGAGGCAATTACCCCCATCATCAATCCCAGCCTTCCCTTTGTGGTATGGTACCTTGCAGTACAATTTCAGAGAGATCCATACACTTGAACACAAGTTATTGTCTGGAAACTAGAAAAATGCTTATTTTTGGCCCCTTTTTGGCCCCCAATTCCTAAACGTTTCGGCAATTACCCCCAAACTCAATTCCAGCTTTCCCTTTGTGATATGGAACCTTGTAGTACAATTTCAGAAAGATCCATACACTTACACACAAGTTATTGTTATGAAACTAGAAAAATGCTTGTTTTTTGCCCCTTTTTTGGCCCCTAATTCCTAAAATTTTGAGGCAATTACCCCCAAAATCAATCCCAGCATTCCTTTTGTGATATGGAACCTTGTGGTACAATGTCAGAGAGATCCATACACTAACACACAAGTTATGTCTGGAAGTTACAAAAATGCTTATTTTTGGCCCCTTTTTGGCCCCTAATTACTTTACTGTTGGTACCATAACCCCCAAAATCAATCCCAACCTTCCTTTTGTGGTATTGAACCTTGTGGTAAAATTTCATAGAGATCCATTCACTTAAACTAAAGTTAGAGTGCGAAAACCAATGTGTCTTCGGACGACGCCAGACAATGACGACGACGACGTCGACGCCAACGTCTTACCAATATACGACCACAAAAATTTTTTTGCGGTCGTATAAAAATTAAAATGAGGACATTTGGCATATGTTAACAGAAACTTCAGACCATAAGGCATCTTAATTCAAGATATAAATTACTAATATTTATGTCCACCATCTTATAAAATTCAAAGCCGTATATTAATATTCAAGCCCTATCCTCACAGCCCTGGTTATTATACACATCTCTCCTTTAGTGACATTCGTGGCAGATGAAATAAAGTAAAAGTGAAAAGCAGAAAGTAGAAAGTGGGACAGTGTATGTCTTTTGCAAGTTAAACTCAGTAATTGCATAACAATTTATATAGACATCAGCGTACATGACCATGTGAAGTCAGACAGGGCTGTTGTGGGGTTACGTGCCTGGGTACATTTGAACAGCACTTTAAAACCTTTTACCTGGACTTCCAAAAACGTTCTTTGTTGAAGGCCGTACAGTTGCCTACAATTGCTTACATCCACTTCATTTGATTGATTGATTGATTGTTGGTTGCTTAACGTCCAGTGGCAAATATTTCATGCATATTCAGGACGAGAACAAGTTCACAATAAATACAATAGGTAGGTTCTGTAATAGATTAAGGGATTAAGGTCGGAGAAATTTAGACTGCCACGGGAAATGAGGGTACATTGGATAGGGACAGAAATTTAGCCTTGCAACAGGTCACCTACGGACCCCTCAAAGAGTTGTCGCAAGGGTTCTTAACGTGCAAAGAGCGTGGCACTCTCTTTACACGAGGCATCGGATTTAACGTCCCCATTCTGACCGGACGTGGCTGCAAATTTGTACATCCCGCACAGCCAAACGGACGCCCCACTTTAGCACGGGTTTTACTGCCGGTCGGAGGAAGACCAATGGTGACCATACTTCTATTCCCCAGTCACCCTTGGGGGACCACTTCATTTGAACTTTGGTGGATAGTTGTCTCATTGGCAATCATACCACATCGCCTTATCTTTATATTAAATTAAATATGCAGAACTGATCATATCTTGGCTAAATATATATGATAGAGAAGCATATTTCTTAACCTATTTTATTTTTCCCTGTTACAATGAAATTAATAAAATAAGACTATATTCAAGTTCAAATATACACTACGGTTATAATTAACTGTAGATGTATAAAATTTATTAAGAATTTGATACATTTGATCAATTATGATATCTAAAAATAAACCACACAGGTGCATGTACAATAAACACAAAAATATCTTCAAAAAACTTTATTCTCAACCCTATTACATTATGAAGATAAAATAAAGTGATATGTTCTTCATAAATAGTTTAATTTTGGATGTAACGCGTCTTCTGATTGGCTGACGTTGTTTTGTTTATCAGCTCATAGACATAATTTTGTCATGTGACCGTGTCGTCATCAACGTTATTTCATGGTTTACTCCGGTTTAAAATGGAATTTAGAATTAAATTATAAGAAATGACTGTAATATTGTTTCTGTCTATTCAAAATAACATAAAAAATGTGGTGCACACTTTAAAATAACCCGTTACACAGGTTATTCAGTGTGCACCACATTTTTGATGTTATTTCTTCATAGACAGAAAAAATATTACAGTCATTCCTTAAATGGAATACAATAAATTGGCAGTCCAAATAAGCGCTCAATGAATTAAATGTTGAGTATTTAGGTCACACCAGATCTAGATTTCCTAACATATACATTTTTTTTTTGTAAGCATAGTTTCTGGTCTAGTACCAGTCGCTGTCAGAAATTCACAGCATTTCTTAAATTGTTTAACAGGAAGTCTGGATGAAAATATTGTAACAACTGAAAGGTTGCAAAAGGTAGGTCTAGCACAATAAACTGAGACTTAAATCTTTACCAGCAAACACAAGTGTGTTGCTAGCATTTTGATCTTTGTGTGCTATTCTATAAAAAACATCATTTACTGTCACTAATGAGTCAAGCCATTAAATGAGTAAAATTACTATTTATATAGGACATAAATGTCATATTCTGAATTTACATAGCAAGAAGAGAATAAGGTATGTCAAATGAACCAAACACATTGTCATTCCAGCCATAAATTCAGAATTTCTTCTTTCTTCTCCAAATCAAAAGATTATCATTAGTTGAAATAAAAATTGTCTTATTTTGAAATTTAAAAACTTTTTCTTTTAATTCTTTTAAATCAATTTTTTTATTCTTAATCAAGCTTAAAAATTGCTTTCACAAATATTCGAGGATGTCATGTTGCCTCATTCATGTCTCACCACTAGGCTTTAAAAAACAGAAAACTTTTCCTGCTCTATAGGGATCAATTGAAAGAGACTTTTTATAATGAAAAATAACATGTATGAAGATAACAGCACTTTGCCTTATTTGCACAGTGAGCTGTCATTACATTAAATGCTAGATGATGGTAACTGATAATTAACAGTAACTGGTCTTTGACTTGTATAGCTGTAAAACTGTACACAAATTGAGATATACAAAGGATTGTAATTATAACTCTTATTGAGAAAAACTTTAACCAAATCAATAAACTTGATTTGATAAAAAAATAAATGAACCAACATTTGGACCACATAGGTGGTACCAATGTATCCAATTGCAGAATAAATAGATTTTTTTATATTAGCAATAAATGATTGCTGAACACAAAGTGAAAACAATACCTCCTACTAACCCTATGGGCTTTATCATATATAATGGTTGAACACAAAATCATAACAATGTGTCACATTAGCCTTTAGGGCTTGGCAAGCTGTAAAGTTAACAATGAATGATGGTTTAACACAAAATAATGGCAATGGGTCACCAGATTTTTTTTTCGGCACTACAATTCAAACACTAATGTTATATTATAGCTGTACTTAATTTGTCTTTTTACATGTATTGATCAGAGGCTTTAAGGGAAACACAAAATGATGAAAACTAATCCATGTATAAAGTGAATTAATTATTACCTTTATCATGTTAAGGGTCAACACCTCTAGAATTCATATCTCTCATTATATATGTGAGCATAAATTGACGTATGGTTGCAATCTGATATAAACTATTTCAGTGAGCATTAGGAATGGTTTTTAAACTATTTCAGTGAGCATTAGGAACGGTTTTTGCACAAATTTTGGTCTATTTTTAATAATTGATACCTTGACCTTTGAGGTAATTACCTTAAAATCAATGAGATCCTCCTCTTATTATATGTGAGCATAAATATAAGCATGATTGCAATTGCATAACATGCTTATATTTATGCTCAGAGTGACAGCAAACCTGATTTTCCTGCAGAAGTCGAACCCTGAACAGTTGAGCAAGTATGGACACTACATTTAAGCTTAAAACTGCTCTGAATTTGGATTATGGTTGAATTTTTGACACAGCATAGGTTTGTGACGCAAAATGAATGTGGTCAAAGAACTGAAATATTTGAAATTGGACATTTACCTATTATGGTCCAATATCCAAAATCTAAGTACATTGTCAGAATCAGCATATCAAAGAACTCCAAAAATTCAATTTTTGATGAAATCAAACAAAAGTTTAATTTAGGACCCTTTGGACCACAATGTGGACCAATTTGATAAAGGAGCTCACAATCCAAAATCTCTCAATACATGGCAAGATTCAGCATTTCAAGGAACCACATAAATTCAAATTTTTGTGAATCAAACAAAGTTTAATTTTGGACCCTGATTTGGACCAACTTGAAAACTGGGCCCAAAAATCTAATATTTAAATACAGGTTTAGATTCAGAATTTGAAAGAACCCTATATATATTTAATTTAAGTTGAATTGAAACACAATTTGATTTTATCCATATATTTTCTGTGCAAAGGGAAATAACTCAAACTGGATAAATAGATATGATTATAATCAATAAACCAGTGAAGTGATGACTAAGTTCTATAAAATTAGATATGCACAGTATTATCTAACTAATAATAAAAATAAATACAGGTTTAGATTCAGCATTTCAAAGAACCCTATATATATTCAATTTATGTTCAAATCAAACACAGTTTAATTTTGGACCCTGATTTGGACCATCTTGAAAACTGGGCCCAAAATCAGAAATCTAAATATATGTTTATTAATAGATAATATAAGCTAAGTTTTGAAAGGAGTTCACCTAATCAAAAAAATATACATAGCATTCAGAAAATTAGTTTTTACAGAATAACAAACAATTTACAATTTACCAAAGAAAAGAAAAAAAAATCAAAAATTTTATTTATCATTAATCATGTTAATACAATGTCTTTTAAAAATCGATAAAACTTATCTGTAATTAACTTCAAAATGTCTAATAATGAACAGTAAATTTCTAACTATATTTACTCCTATAAAACTTTTAATCATCAACATTTAGAAAACAGAAAATTCTCAAATAAATCTTTCACTCAGGATAAGACATTAACCATATGTTTAGTAAACTGATAACAGGACATATAAACAGGTGAAAATTATCTATAAAGGCTTAGTGTAATCAAACTTAAAGTATATAATTAACAATTTCTGTTCAAAGGAAAATAACTCAATCACAAAAAAATACCACTTATCGATATTAAAAAGGGCAATAACTCTCAAACAAGAAAAGCAAAAATCGTGAAAATTGAACCAGACTCTCATTTAGTTGCAGGAAACAACATATCTAAATTTGAAATAATTTTGTCAAAGGGTTTTCATGTTATTGAAGAGACACTGTTTGGCAGCCCACCGTCTGCCCGCCCGCCGTACATCCCCAAATCAATGACCAATTTTTACTTCGAAAATCCGGTAAAAAAGTGTCTGAAATGAAAATTACTGACTGAGGCATGGACGGGACAAAAACTATATACCCTTTCTGTACTTTGTAGCAAGGGGAATAATTACAATTCTTATAAAAAAGCATGTTACTGAAAGGTTGTCCTCCCCCAATAAGACCCAACTTGAGGGGGGCACATGTTATCATGCAAAATGAATTGTTCCTATAGGCAGTATTTTTTCGGTAATTGAAACCTCACAAGAGATCATCTCTATCACAAGGCTACATCACACTACTAAGAACTGGCTGTATGAGAGGGGAAAGGATACTGTAGTCTGTAATCATTGTCATCTAACAGGTATCTACAGAACAAATATTGTAAAAGGACATCTTTGATATTATACAACCACCTAAATGATACCTTTAACCAATATGCAAAAAATGGTCCACAAAATATAAGATGTTTAAAACATCAATGCATTTAAAGTCAATAAAAAATAATATAACATTAATGAAATAAGAATACTTAGAATTGAACATTTCAATAGATAAAGGAAGATGTGGTATGAGTGCCAATGAGACAACTCTCCATCCAAGTAACAATTTATAAAAGTAAACCATTATAGGTCAAGGTACGACCTTCAACACGGAGCATTGGCTCACACTGAACAGCAAGCTATAAAGGGCCCCAAAAATTACTAGTGTAAAACCATTCAAACGGGAAAACCAACGGTGTAATCTATATAAAAACGAGAAACATGTATGAACTACTACATAAACAGACGACAACTACTGTACATCAGATTCCTGACTTAGGACAGTTGCAAAAATTTGCAGCGGGATTAAACGTTTTAATGGTACCAAACCTTCTCCCTTTTTCTGAAACAATAGTATAACATCACAACATAGAAGTCTACAAATTCTTTAATCTCATTATTAAACATCTTTTAAATCCATACCATATAACTTTGAATACATGGACAAGATTTCAAAAACAATTCTAATATAACATTTCATCTTAAAAAATAATTGCATAATCATTTTTATAAACATTTAATACAAACGGTTTTTCTGCAAGTTAAAATGAAGTTTCCTTTTGCAGGTAGCATCCAACCCCTTACCCCTCCCCCCCAAAAAAACACACCTTAAAGAAGAAATAAACAGATATTTTTTAAATAAGTATAAACTAATTTTAGACTTGTCACTTATTCTCCATTTCCTTTGTCATTCCAATCCCAATTATAGTTACATGTAGAGCCACCAATTGACCTGGACATAAATTAAATATTTTTCTAATGTATTTTTTTAAACTCCTTAACTGGGAACTGTGAAGGTATACTTAATAAAACTGTTCACACATATAAATGTCTCATCTGTATGTACATGATGTATAAATTTTGACAGTAAAATGCAAATTTGAAATAAAAATGGCAATATTTAACATGTAAACAATCAAAAACATTCAAAGTCAATGAACCATGACTGGAGGTGCTGAGCCAAACATTGCTGTGAAAATGAAATATGGCAATGCTAATACAGCTGCATATCAAATATCATTGACAGATCATTAAAATTCCCCTTAAAACTTAACTTATCACAAATGTTAAAACTGCAAAAGTTCAAAAGTCATTGCAACATGACTGAGCAGGGGCATATATCTCCATGGAAATGAGATTTGCTAATGCATACCAAAAAACTTTGACTTACTATTAGTGGTTCATCTGGAACTGACCTAATTACAAACCTTTACATATAAACTAATCAAAAGTTTTAAGGTCAATAAACCATGACTGAGAAGGTGGGCCAAATAATCTCCATGGAAATGGGATTCGTATGCAACTACCAAATATCATTGACATACCATTACTAGTTTCCTTTAACATGTTTAAACTGACCTAATCACAAACTTATACAAATCGTTCACGAGGCCTGAGGAACAGGAAACAGTAGGCTAAAATTCTCATTTCTTCAAATTTGTTGAGGTGAAACGAAAATAAAATATAAATGCACATATAGATGAAAGCAATATTATGAACCACTTCTATTCAACGAAGACCATTGTTCAATTTCATTTAATACAAGTCCATAATAAGTATACTGTCTAGAAAAAAGATACACCAAATAAAAGAAAAAAATTCTAGAGATTTCATCTGTTTACAAAGGATTTCTTAAATTGGTTTAATGGAAATCAATAACTATTTCCACTTTCTACTGTAATATTAAACCTCCTACACATACTACATCATCAGTCATTCTTTTAGGTTACCAGTTTGTGGAAGCACTATCTTATAGTTTGATCAGCTGATTCATATCAGAAGATATTCTTCATATCCTGTTCAAATATAGCAACGAGAAACATTATTCCTCCTCCTAACAACATTCCTGACATCTGTAACAATAGATGACACAGCGGATGCTCTCCCTTCTTTGTATCTACATCCGACACCTGTGGAAGCTGAAGAGAAATAATTCACATTGTTATTGCAATTATTACTTGATGCCAAATACAATTTAACTCACATGATTTAAAACATATTCTTAGGGCAAGACCATGTGATTCTCAAGTGGGGGCTCAAGAAGAACTTGAAAATAATCCCTAGCATCCTGCCTGAATTGGCCCCTGATTGTTACGCTATTTTCATATCTCTAAAATTTTGACTCCTTTTTTGTGTTTGAAGATGACTGTGTATCCTACCAAAAAAGTGAGCTATATCATTTAAGTTAAATAGCTGATATTGTATTAAGTACCATACATAACCTACTATATGACCAAGCTTGCTGATATTGTATAAAGTACCATACGTAACCTCCTATATGACCAAGCTTGCTGATATTGTATTAAGTACCATACATAACCTACTATATGACCAAGCTTGCTGATATTGTATAAAGTAACATATATAACCTACTATATGACCAAGCTTGCTGATATTGTATAAAGTACCATACATAACCTACTATATGACCAAGCTTGATGATATTGTATAAAGTACCATACATAACCTACTATATGACCAAGCTTGCTGATATTGTATATAGTACCATACATAACCTACTATATGACCAAGCTTGCTGATATTGTATAAAGTACCATACATAACCTACTATATGACCAAGCTTGCTGATATTGTATAAAGTACCATACATAACCTACTATATGACCAAGCTTGCTGATATTGTAAAGTATCATACATAACCTACTATATGACCAAGCTTGCTGATATTGTAAAGTATCATACGTAACCTACTATATGACCAAGCTTGCTGATATTGTATAAATAGAGAATAATACATGGCAAAATCAGTATCACATGCCGCATCATCCCGAGATACCAATATCAGCCCGAGGGCCTTTAGGCCAAAGGGACCTTCAAAACAGTGAAAATACATGTTGAAGAAGCTCTTGTACATGTCTTATTGTAGTAACAAATAATTAATCAAAACACTACTGTAAGTCAGAGAATTATTTCATGACTTAAAATGCCTCATATGTACAAAAAACAGACTCTTTTCTGTAAAATATTGGTGGCCCTGAAAACTATCCTTTGCATCAGACGGATTTCAAATACTTGTTTCTTCGTCACTCCAGTCTACGGACCAGTTTTTATCCGAGAGTTGCCATTTTGTTTACATATGTCAGTGACGTCATTTTGATAGGAGATAACTTGTGTAAAAATTGTGAGACTCAAAGGTTTTTTTTACTGGTGAATAAAAGGGTAATTCATCGCACATTGTAATTTTCAGGGTTATTCCACATTCCTTGCTTTTAAATGATAATTAAACCAAATAATTCATATTGATCCTGTATGAGTCTTCCTACAGTCATGTTAATCATCAGTCAGCTTTTGGTGGTTATTTTAAGTCATTGGTAATAATAAAGGTATCATAAAATGAGTGTTTTCATATTAATTCATGTATTATGTCCTCGTACAGTCGTATTGGGTCTCGATTAGCTGTATTGACCCTTGGCTAGGACTCAAGCCAATAGAGCTAACCTCAACCCTTTTTGCGCAGAACCTCATTACATGCTCCGATCATTATTTCTTACAATAAATTAAAACACATTGTGATTAAGCATGATATATGTCCGAGCAAAGGCTTTGAAGTAATGAAGAGAAGCTGTAATAACACCCTTTAGTTATTACAGGCATATTTTTTCTGTAATAACATAGGTGTACTATGCATGATTGACAAACTATGAACTGTTATATCTTTCTATAGTTTAGTATACATAAAGACAATAATAATATCAATAGAACTTGTATACATTTTAACAAAACAAAGGATGTATATTGCCCCTTTGAAACATGTAACATACATATGTTATCACAGTTTTTGGATTTTTTAGTCCACAATTACAAATGTATGTTATTTTTCTCTAATAACCCTATAGAGTTATACCCTTGACTGGCTGGGAAACAGTCCTTACAACATGTATAATGGATATATGGGTGGTTTAACCAATGTCCTTTATCCTTAATTATCTTACCATATCAACTAAAGCAATGTACAGGAACATGCCAGCTACTCCAACAAAAATCCATAGACTAGCACCATCTATATTACCAATGAAAATACCAATACTCATACCCATGAAGGCAAGGACAGATGATACACAGTTATATACCAGGGCTTGTTTAACAGTCATCCCTGCTCTTAATAAAACAGCGAAATCACCTGAAAATACAAAACAATATTACCCTAAACATTATGAGAACCATATTTTTGACAACAATAATTACTATGAGAAACATTTAACAGATTTAGATTTTTTTTAAATCAAAATAGACAAATAGTTTGATCAACAATGTATAATGGCAAACAATTTTGTCAATAAACTGTTGACATAAAATTCAGAAAAATACAATCTGATGGACAGCAACATTGCTAATTAATTCAAAGTTGCTGGACCATGAACTAGTGGGCAGGGCCTTGAAATGGTCAACAAACTGAGATGTACAGACAGTAATCATGGTAATGTAACTTTATAGAAAATATCTTTAGTCTATTATAAGTAGTTACTATCAAACAAACTTAAGCAGAAACTTAACATTGAAAATTGCTTATTAATTGAAAGTCGCTGGACCATGACTAGGGGGCAGGGCCTTGAACTGATAGTAATGCATCTTCATAAAATATATCATTGATCTATCACAAGTACTTCTTATCAAAAATAACTTCAGCAGAAAACTGGAACATTGGAAATTGCTAATCAATTAAAAGTCACTGGACCATGACCTAGGAGGCAGGGCCTTAAAATAGTTGGCAAACTGATAAGTACTGATAGTAATGCAACTTCATACAAAATACCATTGATCTATCACAAGTAGTTCTTCTCAAACTAACTTAAGCACAAAACTTAATAATTGTTATTGCCAACTACATCGTCTTTGCCAATTAATCAATACCTATGTCTTCCAGGCGAGATAAAAATGGAAGCTTTTGGGCAAAAGTCTTAAGTTGCATTTACAAGGTGTACCTATGCAACAAATTTTACGACTTCTCTTGCAATGACCATCATTACACTACTAACACATAATTTCAATGACACAAAGCACATGTTCTGATAAACTATTGCAAATATTCAAAGTCAATGAACCATGACTGAAGGTACATGGCTAAACAATCTCCACGGAAATGAGATGTGCCAATGCTAATACAACTGCATACCAAATACCATTGACTTATCATAAGTAGTTCCCTTTAAACAAACCTAAACACAAACTAATACATGTAAACTAAGCAAAATTTCAAAGTCAATAAACTATAACTGAGGGGGCAAGGTCAAATAATCTCCATGGTAATGAGATGTGCCAATGCTAATACAACTGTATACCAAATATCATTGACCTACCACTAGTGGTTCCCAATAAACCGACATAATCACAAACTAATACATGAAAACTAAGCAAACATTTCAAAGTCAATAGACCATGACTGAGGGGGCGGGGGCAAATAATCTCCATGGAAATGAGATATGCCAATGCTTATACAACTGCATACCAATTATCATTCACTTACCACTAGTGGTTCCCCATTAACTGACCTAATCACATACTAATACATAATAAAATGCTTCGCTGGGGCGCAGCTTGATACGACCGCAGAGGTCGAACCCTGAACAGTTGGGGCAAGTATGGACACAACATTCAAGCTTGATACAGCTCTGAATTTGGATTGTTATTAAATATTTGACACAGCATAGGTTTCTGACACAGAAAGAATGTGGTCTAAGAACTTGAATTTTTTTTAATTTATCTATTATGGTCCAATGTCCAAAATCAAAATACATGGTTAGATTCAGCATATCAAAGAACCCCATATATTATCAATTTTTGTTAAAATCAAACAAAGTTTAATTTTGGACCCCAACTTGGACAAACTTGAAAACTGGGCCCATAATCAAAAATCTAAACATATGTTTAGATTCAGCATATCAAAGAACCCCAAGAAATCAATTTTTGCTAAAATCAAACTAAGTTTAATTTTGGACCCTTTGGACCTTAATGTAGACCAATTTAAAAAACAGGACTTAAAATTAAAAATCTAAATACACGGTTAGATTTGGAATATCAAAGAACCCCAATAATTCAATTTTTGATGAAATCAAACAAAGTTTAATTTTGGACCCTTTTGACCTCAATATGAACCAATTTGATAGCGGGGCCCACAAATAAAAAATCTAAATTCATGGTTAGATTCAGCATATCAAAGAACCCCATATATTCAATTTTTGTTGAAATCAAACAAAGTTTAATTTTGGACCCCAACTTGGACCAACTTGAAAACTGGGCCCATAATCAAAAATCTAAACACATGTTTAGATTCAGCATATCAAAGAACCCCAAGAATTCAATTTTTGTTAAAATCAAACTAAGTTTAATTTTGGACCCTTTGGACCTCAATGAAGACAAATTTAAAAAACGGGACCCAAATTAAACATCTAAAAACACGGTTAGATTTGGCATATCAAAGAACCCCAATAATTCAATTTTTGATGAAATCAAACAAAGTTTAATTTTGGACCCTTTTGACCTCAATATGAACCAATTTGATAGCGGGGCCTACAAATAAAAAATCTAAATACATGGTTAGATTCAGCATATCAAAGAACCTCATATATTCAATTTTTGTTGAAATCAAACAAAGTTTAATTTTGGACCCCAATTTGGACCAACTTGAAAACTGGGCCCATAATCAAAAATCTAAATACATGTTTAGATTCAGCATATCAAAGAACCCCATATATTCAATTTTTGTTGAAATCAAACAAAGTTTAAATACTGGACCCTATCTTGGACCAACTTGAAAACTGGGCCCATAATCAAAAATCTAAACACATGTTTAGATTCAGCATATCAAAGAACCCCAAGAATTCAATTTTTGTTAAAATCAAACTAAGTTTAATTTTGGACCCTTTGGACCTTAATGTAGACCAATTTAAAAAACAGGACCCAAAATTAAAAATCTAAATACACGGTTAGATTTGGAATATCAAAGAGCCCCAATAATTCAATTTTAGATGAAATCAAACAAAGTTTAATTTTGGACCCTTTTGACCTCAATATGAACCAATTTGATAACGGGGTCCACAAATAAAAAATCTAAATACATGGTTAGATTCAGCATATCAAAGAACCCCATATATTCAATTTTTGTTGAAATCAAACAAAGTTTAATTTTGGACCCCAATTTGGACCAACTTGAAAACTGGGACAAAAATCAAAAATCTAAATACATGTTTAGATTCAGCATATCAAAGAACCTCATATATTCAATTTTTGCTAAAATCAAACAAAGTTTAATTTTGGACCCTTTGGACCTTAATGTAGACTATTTTGAAAACTGGACCCAAAATTAAAAATCTAAATACACTGTTAGATTCGGCATAACAAATAAATAAATGTGATCAAAGATTTTACAAATCTAATGTGCCATACTGTGCAATTAAAGATAACTTCTTGAAATTTTTCAATATTTGAAATTTGAAAAAAAAATAATATTTGAAGAATAATTCTTTTTAATTTCTGAAATCTGAAATGAGAAAAAATTGACCCCCCACAATTTCTTTTTATCCCCCCCCCCCCCCCCCCCCCCCCCTTTTTTCCCCCAAAAAATTCTTTCCCTCAAGATATGGTCATAATCTCAATTCAAATTTCCAATGGAGTTGGCAACCATAATTACCCATTTAATTTTACCATAGTGCTAACTTAATCTATTTTATAAAAGAATTAAAAATATAGTGTCAAATCTTTCATATAGATTTTTTTGTAAAATAAAATGATGCAACATTTGCAGATATTTTTACTGGTCTTCCTTTATAAATATGCATTTCTTTAAACATAATTTAAAAGCAGTGTAAGGGAAGTAACCAAAACGTTGTATTTGGATTACCTCCCTTACACTGTTTTAAATTATCTTTATTGTTCATTAACCATTACTTTATACATAATTTAAAAGCAGTGTAAGGGAGATAATTTCAATGATGTATTTGATTTATCTCCCTTACACTGCTTTAAATTATGTTTTGTACTAAAGTATTTGTCCATTAACCAGGACAACCTTGTTTTTCCCCCTTTTTTGCCCCTAATTCCTAAACGGTTTGAGCCATAACCCCCCAAAGCAAATCCTAACCATCCCTTTGTGGTATGGAAACTTGTAGTATAATTTCAGAGAGATCCATACACTGTTCCACAGTTATTGTCTGGAAACTAGAAAATGCTTATTTTTGGCCCCTAATTCCTTAACTGTTGGTACCATAACCCCCAAAATCAATCCCAACCTTCCTTTTGTGGTATTTAACCTTATGGTAAAATTTCAAAAAGATCCATTCACTTAAACTAAAGTTAGAGTGCGAAAACCAATGTGTATTCGGACGACGACGACGACGCCGGACGACGACGACGACGACGCCAACGTCATACCAATATACGACCACAAAAATTTTTTTGCGGTCGTATAAAAACTAAGCAAAAGTTCAAAGTCAATAGACCATAACTGAGGGGGCGGGGCCAAATAATCTCCATGGTAATGAGATGTGCCAATACTATTACAACTGCATACCATATATCTTTGACCTACCACTAGTGGTTCACCATAAACTGGACCTAATCACAAACTAATACATTGTTGACGCCGCCGCCATCGACGCCGGAAACAGCATACCTATGTCTCGCTTTTTGACTCCGTCAAGCGAGACAAAAATGTAAAGATACATTGATTGAAATTTAGTTTGATATCAGTATGCAGGGTTTTCAATAGGTTTGAAGTAAACAGGCTGTTTACTATTTTGAAGCGGGTGATAGAAGTAAACAGGCTGTTTACTAATTTGAAGCGGGTGATAGAAGTAAACAGGCTGTTTACTAATTTGAAGTGGGTGATAGAAGTAAGATTAATCTTAGTAAATTGTGATATTGCTTATCAAATAAAAATAATTTGTATCAATAATGATCTTAATTATACTGATTATTGACAGAAAACAGGATGCAGCTCTCCATATGGTAGGGTTTACATCCACAATTCCAATTGCTGTAGAATTATTCTTTATTAATAAATAATTTTGATAGAAATAACATGCAAAAAACAAAAATTGCAGGCCAACCTATATGAAATTTCATCAATTTTTTTTTTGTTATCGAAATTTTCAGAGTAGGTTAGACTATAAAACTATGAACAGA